GGGAGAGGCTTTCCTGGGCATCGCTCCGCTGGGGCGGGCACGGACACGCTGTTCCGAGCGCAGCCCTCGCCCTGTCAGGAATTTAGGCTCCGTTGTTCTTATCCGCAGTTAAACCCACCTTGATGGGTGGATATGCGTGATCTGAGGCACAGCGGGTTTGGTTCTGAGCTCTGCTTTGATGTACTGAGTCTGCCTCGGGAGGGGCGCTTGGCGTGGCGCTCGAGTCTCACCTGAGCATTTTAGGGAAGGATTATCTGGGCTGAAGAGAATGCAATGCGCTGATTCAGGGAAATAGTGCCCGCTCTATGCTTAAGGTCCTGTTCTGGATAAAGCTCCTCCGGTTCCGGTGTTCGGTTGTAGGTCGGTGTTTTTCTTCTCCGATTGCAAAACATTGGTTGAGGTTATCAATGGGCCGAGTGATCCAGGCTTTTCAGGAGGGGTGGAGAAGGGTGGTTTGTTGGTCCTTTTGATGTATGTCATTTCTCCGGAGAGCTGTGTGAGATATAATCTGCTGTGTTTGTCACATTTGTTGTCAAATTCCCAGTCGTAGATATCACTTTCTTTGCCTTAAGTGTTGGTAAGGCTACAAGAGGTAATTGCTTATCCTTTGTTTCCCACCTTTACCAATTTACAGTACTGGTTTGAAAACAATGTTAAATTTTAGATTAAGGTAGTGTTTAGAGAGACCATGCTTAAGCGAGTCCTTGCTTTTTGATCTGACTTATTTTCATCAGTTAATTTTCTTTTTTTTTCTTTGTAATTTGAACAGATTTTGTAACGAGTGTTTTTGTTGGAATATATGGCAGCATATGAAGAGATCACTTGATAGCTTTTTGATTTGGAATAGCTCTTCAGCATTCTGCCATATTAGGTGTATGTTTGTACTTAAGTACTGGTGTGATTTTCTAAATGGATTCTGCCAGTCAACATACAGTAAATGGTCTGTTGTGGTTAATACTTCTTTGGAAATCTCATGTCAAGTTGTTTTTTTTTTATTTATTATTCATACACTACTCAAACTCCCGACAAAATAGTTGTTACACTGTGTGCAGGCAGTCCTTTGTTCCTTTTTACTTTTTAATTTACATTTTCTTTTTATTGGTAGAGTTCAGCTGTATCAGTGTGTATATATATGTATATTCAGACAATATTACATATATATATATAGTATATGTATTAGTTACTATGGGTGACTGATACCAAAGTGATTTGAGGTTTCTTGGACTTGCTCAGTTTCCACTGCTCCAAAGTGCAGTTATATGAATAGAACTGCTTAAACATGAAGTTTGATCTTGGCTAGATCTGCCAGCTAGACACAGTAATAGAGGTGTGAGAGCTTGTTAAGAAGTCTATCACCAATCTGTTGACAGGAAATTACAGCAGTGATGATAGCAACAATTGTTATTATTAGTATTGAAATACGTCACCTCATAAAGCATCTTTTAGAGAACTATAAAACTGCAACAGTTGGAATGACATAGTTAATGCTTATCACAATATTATGGAAAGGTTAAGTATCAGAGTGTGCTTTGTTAACTGCCTTTTTTAACAGCTGTGATTTTGGAGAATTTCACAATTTATAGTTGAAAATTTTACAGTAAATTAAAAAAGACTCGAAATTAATTTTGCATTTTTGCACTGCATGTTGCTCTTTCTGTAATCACCTCCTCTCTGTATCTCTTCATTTTTTCATACATCCTATTCTGAAAATTTCCTTAAGGGTTAGGGAAGTTGAGATTAATGAAAGTTAATTATTTCTTTAAATTATCTTTTAGGTGGCTTGAGAACCAATCAGTGATTCTGTATATAATCTACAAGTGTATATCACAGATTGAGTGAAATAACTGGAATTTTTCTGCTCTTCTTTTTTAACAAAAATACACCGGAAACTCAAGAAATCGGATCTTAAAAATCTGAGCAAAGCTGGATTCAAGAGCATCTTCTCACAACCAACCAAGTAATGTGATGAATAAAACAGAGGTGGTGATCTGATGACAGGCAAAAGAAAGAGTAAGTAACTGCAATTCCTAGAGAAGGCTCCCGACTGCCAGCTTGTGGTGGATGTAGCAGCGCTGGTGTGGTGATAGTCTGAGGATACAGATTTTCCATAAAGGTTGCAGTCTGAGGTGTAAGTATGTAAAAGAACATAGTCATTTAGGAAGACAGATAATTAGGAAAATCTGCAAGGCATCCTGACAGGAAAAACCCAAAACTTCCATTATTTAACTTCAGAAGAGTGACTTTTTTTCTTTGATTTTTCCTCCATTTATGCATTTACAATCTTGTTATCTGTTTCAGATATTGTGAATAAACATCTTTATTTGCATGGTTAACTGAACCTGGCATGAATTAAAAGTGATATGATATTAAATGAATATGAAGAAGTAATTTCTCACTCCAGTTCCTGGAGCAAAGTGCAAGTATCTGGCTCTCCATGTTTTGTAGAATAGCAGAAAGCTAGCAGACCATGCTTCCAAGGAAATTGTTCGGGTTCTCTGGAAAAAAGCTATTACAGGTTCAGAGAAGAAAGAAACCACTTATGTAGCTGTAAGTAACCATCTCTCTGTCATTCTCAGTATTGGGGTATACTTTGAACTTGGAAGGCTCTCAGGGAGGCTATAGCAAGAGACTAAGACATGTTGGAAACTAAATTCTTGTATCCTATCCTACTGTGACAGAACTTAAAGTATGCCTTCAATACGCCTATTTCAATATTATGTTATTAGCCAAATGTAGATGTTTAGTGCTGCAGACAGAGTTTTGTGTGTTGTTGTCCCAGGGTCTCTCCAGTCATCAGGCTGTTCATCTTAATCTAATTTTATTACTTCCTCCATTCCATTTCTTTCTTGGCAGTAAACATAATGTTGGTACTGCAGTGATAAATTGATGTAGTTCTGTCTTTCTACTTTTGTATTCATTTGGAAATGCTAAATGTTGGTAATAACAGTGTAGTTAGTAGTGTTGATGTCGTTACCTTGTTTTAGCAAAATTGAGCACTTAGTATTTATCTCCAAACCTGCTCTGGTATGGTTATTTTCACTCAAACCTTTGGTTTCACCTCTAGTAACTTCTGCATCAGTGATGCATTTTCCATATGAAGTCATGAAGACAAAAACTACATTAAGAGATTACAGTTCTTAAATAAAGCAGAAAGAGTTACAGATTTTCATATGCACTGAGGTAATACATTTAATAAAATAATCTCCTTTCCTCCTTGTGTAGACTCCAGCCTCTTCCAGAATCCTATCCAGGCAATGTCAGCTTAATGATCAAAACCTTAAAATAGAGGTCAGAAGTACTAAATTTGGATGTCCAATTTAGTACTTGTCACAGGGGTATGATTTCCAAGAATTTGTAACATTGGAAAGTACTTATAGTTAGCATACATTCCCATTTATTTCAGTGGGTACTTGGCTCTACTCATCAGATCCAAGGTGTCCAGGTGAGTGCACAGAGAATTAGGACTGAGCAATCACACAGTAGTTAGGAGCACGCATTCACTGCCAACACCATGGTGCCCTTGTAGATTTATATAAATTACCTAATTTGTTACAAACACAGCTGTTTAATCTGCATGATCCTCACTGTGTAGCACATCAGAGGTGTATGTCACTGACTTTTGACTTGGAGTTGAGCATATAATAGCATGTTGACAGGATTTACTCATACTTGCCCTTCATGTGGAGTGAGCATGGTGCTGGAATATGTCTTTCAGGAGAGGTCAGTTTGAAGTTCCTGTTTTAGCATTCCTGTTGGGCCTACAGAGATTTTGTCTACCTGATGAAGCCATCAATATCAGAACTGATTTATATACATGAGTTTGGAAGTTCTGTCTATTAGGCAGCATCAGACCTTTGCTGAGGCAGTAGCAAGTCTGGGACAAACAAAGTTGTGTAGGGTTCATTAGCACTTGTTAAGTGGTACACACGCGTTGGGTTTCTCTGTACAGAGAAAGATTACAGGCCATGTTGGTTGCTCTTGGCAGTTCAGGCTTTTCTGTGGATGTCATGTGTTGAGTCCTTACTTCTGACTTATTTTTCACTTTATTTTTCCTTCCCAGATTTTGATGTCACCTTCTTGTGTCCTTCCCCATATAAACGAGGAGGCAAATTTTAATTCTGAATTAGTCCATCTATTTTTGGATTTCTTCTGTGACAAATGACTAGGGATTTTAACAGTTGAACTTCCTCCATTGCAAACCATCTTAATCATCTGCAGACCAGGTCTGTCCTCTAGAATGAATGAGGAAGAGATAGTAAAGTAATTAAGACTGGATTTGTGTCTCATTACTAATTGAATTTTAACTTAATCATACTAAGGCTGAAGTATTAACTCATTGTAAACATTGGAGATTGTTTCTTAGATACATGTTTGTGAGTGAGCTAACTAGGAAAAGAACTTCCCTCACATCTCATATTACATGTGCAGGTTTTTAAACTGACACCAGAGGAATTGAGAAAAGGGAAGTCACTCTAAGGATTTCAACAAATAAAATAAACTTTATGTATAATTAAAAATTATGAAGGCAATGAGCAACTTGTTTTTGCTTGGATGAGCGCTGTGTAGTGAATGCTTTCCAGTGCTGAGGAAAGGAAGTAGGAAAGAGAGACAGTAGCAATGTATTTGCATAATATTGTTTACTTGGGTTATGCTATCTTAATAAGCTGCTTCGTTTATCATAAACTCAGGTATCTTATGAAATCCAAACCTGATCAGGAGAACAACCACAGAAACTAAAAGAAATTGTATTTCTCAAAATCATTGTGTATCAGATACAGGTATGGAGCACACTTTGTTTTCCCTTTGCAATGGCTGCATTTGACAAAATTGTTCCGTTCAAATAGGTCTTTTTTTGTGTTATCTTTCTGTAAATTGTCTTATGTCTGCTACTCAGGTTTCCTCAGTGTGTCTTGTGAAAAAAGAGGCCAAAATCCAATGTAGATTAGCCATGCTGTTTTGGATTTCTTTGCTGTGCAAGTATGATGTTTTTAGAACTTTTTGCATAGCAATTATTGTTTTGTTTTTTGAATCCTACCCATTTCCACTGACGTTGTCTTTACCCCTAACTTGGCTCAGTTAGTTATGCTGTGTGAATTGACAGACACTCCACTTCTAAACATGCAGCTGCTTTTGTAAACTAAACTAATGATGGCTAATAACTGGGGATGCTGAAGAGGCACTCCCAAATCCTGGATTTACTTTACTGCTGCTCTCTTGTGCTCGTAATCGTTTTCATCTGATCATGCAGGGAGGCACTCCTGGGAGCTAAACAAAAGATTGGTGACTTGTTTATGAAGGGGTTGTTCTGGTGGTAGTTATCCTGTGGCAGGAACAGCTTCCCACAAAGACCTTTGCAGGGGGAGTTACTATGCAGAACATAATAAAGGTGCCAACCTATAAACACTAGGAATTGAATAATTGATACTGAAGAGACAATGATGGAAGAGAAGGAGAATATTATTGTCTTGATTATGGCTCTGTCTAGTCTACTCTTTTGGAAACAGCAATATCATCATACATAATAGTGTCAATAACTCTGTTCCAAGGGTTTGTTCTTGATAAAATAGTCTCAAAAATAGTACATGATAGTTTTGCTGTTTGGCAGACCTACAGGTCAGTACATGGCAAGCTCTGTGCTTGTGTTGAAGTATGTTGTAATTTGGATGCAGGTTTTTGTTTTCTATTATTGAAGCATAGCTTACATGTTTTCATGTACATCCTAATCATGAAGTTTGGTTTTGCATCTTTGCACTGTCCAGAGGAGTGAGCTCAATCCTCACCTTCCACCATGCAACAGTTATGAGCACATCCTGTAGAGAGCACCTTAAAACTGCAAAATCCTGAAGGTACCCTTTAATGATGTTAAAGGATTCAAGATAGTGGATAAGTAAAGCAGGCAGTAGGTTTCCCTGTCAATTGCCTCTCTCAGGAAAGTGCTTGGTGTATCTCTCCATCAGCAAGGGACAGGATACACACCTCTTCTTGCAGTAGGTGACCCGGAGCAGTAGTTCCAACAAACGCTTAAATGGAAATGGGATGAAGGCCTTTGCATAGCAGCTTTACTATGAAGACCATGCTGTCAAATGATCTTCAAGCTTATCTATAGATAACATTCCATAGGACTGCTTAGCAGATGCAGCTTACAGAGGTATTTCTTAGCAAGCACCCTGATCAAGCATCACTTCTGGTGGAGCTCTGAGGATAAAAGGTCTCTGGACCTTCATCAGTACCATAAAAGGCACTGACACAGCTCCCAGTGTTTTTAAACTTGTGTTTTGGTGAAGACTGTTCATTTGGATCAACATGAGCTGTTCTGAAGGGTCAGACCAAAGGGTCTTAGCAATTCATAAACAAAGAACTGCTTTGGATGTGAGAATGAAAAAGGTGGTATGTGCAGGAAGTAAGAGTTACTGAGGCTGTAAGAAACAAAAAATCCTTGATTCTATAGCAGTTGGTGAACATTATATACACCAATATTATTTAATTTATTCCCTCTTTTGTCATAATACAGCTAAAACTTCCAGATCAGAAGAGTGGGAAGGAAAATCCAGACATTTCTTCCTAACCAGAGAACAAGGAATATATTCAGTAAACAAGTAGGAATGAAATGCACCAACACTTTTATGTTTTTGAAGCAAAAAATTTGATCTTCATTCCAGGATGGTCATCCAGGACTTTGAACCATAAATCCCACTCAGTCTAGTATGATATACCAGTCTTTCATACAAGATATCAATGATGACTAGGGGATGGAACAGTGATAATGTGTATTTTTCTGTAAATACAAAAATTTGCAAAGATCACCCAGAAGATGCAGAGTGATTCTGCACCACCACCCCACGGACTGAAAATAAACAGCTGAAATCATGTGAGCACACTGCTGTAATATGTCTGTTGATAAGGTTACAATCTTTTCCACGGTGAACGCTGTTCTGGCTTCTGTGAGGTTTGGGAACAACCTTTCTTTTGTGAACTTGTGAAGTCATGCCCACGAGTATTCTACCAGTGCCACATACCATGGCTGATGAAGTAAGTGAGATCTAAAAGCATTCCCGTGTAGGATGAGAGGACCACAGTAATAATGTTCTATCTCATAGATGAGTGTGAAGGTGTAAACTGTATGATGGAGAAGCCAAACTTGAAAATTTACTGGTGATACATTACCTTAAGGCATCATACAGAAGTATCACATGCAAGGTTAGGCAGATTTGTCATCATGATAGGAAGAAGACCCACATGTGTATGTTCTGGCAGTCCAAAACCTTTCTTGAAATACAGGTTGTTGTAGGTTCTGAGGAGTGAGTTCCAAATCTTTCTTGTCCCTTCAGCGTCCAGCTGTCCAGGCCCTGAGAGGGATACAAAGTTGCATTCAAAGTAGGTCAGTACCTCTGCCAGTATTTACAGCTGCAGTGAGTCTTGAGTTGGCTTTGTGATCTGAGAAACAAAGTGGATACACTTGAGAAATATAGAAATGTGTCTTATGAAGTTCGATTCTATGAGAAAACAGAGGAGGATGCCAAGGCAGATAGATAGTGATTATGTTTCTTTGCGTGATCTTTCTTGCAGTGATTCTGTTGAAAGCTTGACAACTAGTGGAGGTGAAAGCTAGTAGGCAGGAGATCCTCTTTCTGTCAAGTTTTCCATGTAGAGTGAGTCACCCCTGGCAGTTTGTTTAACAGTTTGATGCTGCCAGGTCGGGGTGTGAGGATTCTGAAGGACTGGGACTGAAGCCCCTCGCACATACTGAACTGGTGTGAAAAAAGGTGCTGAGGGGTCTGTTGCCATCACACTAGGGATCAGAGGGCTTCTTATTTTTGGCTTGAAATTAAACCATATGCTAGTAGAATTGTATTCTTTTGAGTAACCGTGTCTCACTTGTGAGGTGGAAAAGAGGAAGATAACAGATCTTTGGGGTATAGGCACATGTGCTGAGGACTGGTCAGATGCCCCAGACAATACTACCTACTGTTCTACATGGGCTAATGTACATACCCTTAAAATGGAGAGGCTGAGCATCCTGCTCTGGTAGCCTGTCATAAGGTCAATGAGAAATGATTTACAAGTCTAAGACTCCAAATAGAGAGCTTTCTATTGAGCGTGCCCTGATGTTGTGCTGTTACTCTGAAATACCGCATGAAGGAATGACATGAGATCTGTGTCCTAGCCTGGATGCTCCCGAGTGAAAACTCCACACACCACCTTCTTACTGGGTGTAATTGGAAGAATCTAGAAGCATGAAATTATAGAAAATTGGTCAAATGGTGCAAATACCAATAAGAAATACCGTATTATCAAAGGGATGTCCAGGGACTAGGGAATGCTGTAGCCCACCTGGCAGAAAAAAGCAACTTGCTGTGAAAAAAGCCAGACTTGCTGTGTGTCAGACACATTAGAATGTGGACACCATCAAGGTTTCTGTAGAAAACTTGTCTCCACTTAAAAAGTATTTGTACAGCTGCACAGCAGATACACGTGAATTATCCCTTAAAAGATAAACCAATGTATTTCCTTATCATAATCTTACTAGGTTTTTGACACTATTCATTTTTATACTGTGCACAGTAATGTGTATGGTATGGTATGGTATGGTATGGTATGGTATGGTATGGTACTCGCTCTTTAATACATTTCTATCACAGGTTGTATTCCAGTGCACCAACAATAACTTATATCAGCATGTTGTAAGACTTCTGAGAAGGGTGGCAGGATCACTAAAACAATTTAATTGGAGAGTAGGTCCTCACAGGCAAGTACACAAGTTACCAGATGGCCTCCCTAGTTTGTACAAACTTTCTTGTATTGAAAGTTGAAGGTACTCTGTTCTGAAGGTACTTGAAGGTACTCTGAAGGGTCTATTCCTACACTGAGTGGGCTGCACGAGTGTTAGCTGCTTTAATAGCTTGTGTTTTGTTCAGAGATCAGTGTGCTAAATAGTCCCTGATGAAGAAAAAAGCATTTGGAAAGTACTTTTCATATTCTACAAGATTTCCACAGCCTAGTTGCTTAAACTCTCTGAACCTTAATTAACTTTCTACAAGCAATAACGAGTGTATCTATTTCTGATTCCCTAGTCAAATATTTATTGTAGGACCAACTGGTTTTTGAGGCAAGGAAACCTCTTCTAGAGAAAACATAACAATGAATTGGTAAGTTGTTTGGCAGCAATTTAGCTGAGTGGCTGTGAAATACTGATGGTTTAAAAGAATCACACCTACTCTCAATCAATTGCTTTTTGCTATATGCAGGACTTGTTGGGGATAATCAGCACAGGCAACTGTGTTAGGCTGGGCCAGCTAAAACATTGTTTTCTAAGTATGTGGGTGCAGCTGCCTTGCAGAAATGTATTGCAGTAAAATCCTTCAGTTCTCGAATATGGCTGTAATGGCTGTCTAAAAATAATACCTAACAAAGGCTGTCCTTCGCAGGGGAAGCCAGAAATAACCTTTTTCTCTGTCAAAATGTAAGGCTATTATCAGTTAATCTACAAGCAGCAGCTTGACCCAGAGACCACGAAAGAGCTGACTTTCAAGCACATTTTCTACGTTAAGGAATCTTGAGCTTGGACTTCCCCCCAAAGAGATAATAAATACCAGTCGCTTCAACTTTTTAGCCTTGGTTTTGTAACGACCCGTGTCCTGCCTCCATCCGTTCCCTGGCGCCCGCGCTGGGCCGTTCGAACAAGGAACGTTGTACCGGGGACGCGCGGCGGGTTCGGGTTCGGGCTCGGGCCCGGCCTCTCCGGGGGGGAGCGCGGCGGTCGCGGGGCCAGCGCGTTCCCGCCCCGAGAGCGGCCGGTGCCGGCCGGGGGCGCGGGGAGCGGCGGCGCGCAGGCCCCGCCCCGCGGCGGCGGGAGCGGCGGGGCTGGGCGGTGCCTGGCGCCCTCACGTCCCTTCCCTCCCTCGCTCGCTCCCTCCCTCCCCGCCCGCCTCTCCTCCTCCCCCCCGTCGGCGCAGCGCTGTGGTGAAGCCGCATTGTTTGTGCCGCGGGGGGAGGGGAGCCGCTCAGCCCCGGGAGCCGAGCGCCGAGCCCGCAGCCGGACGGCGACGCGCGCCGCGCCTCACGAATGCGCCGCGCCCGGCGGCAGCAGCAGCCCCGCACCCAGCGCCGGGTGACCGCCGCGGGCAGCGCGGCCCTCGTAGCGCCCGCTCGGCCGCCCGCGGCTGCCGGACGCGGGGCCAGGCGGCAGCACCGGCGGGGCCTCCGCCATTAACTCGGCCGAGCGTCGGCCGCAGCGGCGGAGCGGGAGGTCTGTCAGCCGCTCCTCGGCGGCTCCCACAGCGTGAGTAGGGCCGGGTGGGCGGCGGGGACGGGCGGGCGGGGGCTGCGGGGCCGGGAGCCGGCGGGTCCCGCCGCGGCGGGACGGGAGAGCGGCATGGGGGAAAGAGCAGGGCGGACTGGGCACGGCCGCCTGCGGGGGAGGGCAGCGGCGGGCGGGCGGAGAGGCGAGGCGAGCGCGGCGGTCTGGGGGAGGGAGGGAGGGCGCCGCTGGAGCTGTTTTGTCAGCCGCCATATTTGTGGGCCGAGTATTTTCGCGGCGGGGAGGGAGTGACTGTTGGGAAGGGCTGGAGATGATGGGCCCGGGCAGGAACCATCCTGCCGGGGGCCGGGAGGGGGGAGCGCCGCGCCGGGTAGGAACCATCGGCGGCAGGGGAGGGAGCGCGTTGGAGGCTCCCTGGGCGTGGGCAGGAAGTGTTGGCGCGGCAGCGGCGGGGGGGGGCGGGGGGCGGGGGCAGAGCCGCGCGCGGGAGGCTGGATTCCGGGATGGCCGCGGGCTCTGGCGGCACCGGGCTTTCCGCCGGGCCGGGACAGAACGGCTCTGGGGGTCCCGCGTGTCTTGGCCGTGGCCGCGCACGTTCGCTGCGCTCCGTGAGGCCCCGCTCCGGGCCGTGCCCCGGGGAATCGCTCCCGCTGCGCGGCTGGAGCGGCGGGTGGTGTCCGCGTGTAAGCGCTGTTTGCTTATCGTCCCTCATTGTCCTGGACTAAAGAGTATTCCTGTGTCTTTCTCTGTTTAATGGTCTGCATGAAAGTGCCATTGAGAGTGCAGTTCCCTAATCTATTGAGCAGGAATCCAGGGACTAAAGACAGTTTATTTGAAGAGGAGGAAGGTAACTAGGGCAGAGAATGTAATTTAGAAGTATATGGTACTGTACTTTTCGTGTTAGTTTTAGCTATCCTACACCTTGGTAGATAGCTTTTTTTTAAATTTTATTTTTGCCTCAAAGCACGTATTTCACAGAAACGTTCCCTTGTGTTATGGGGAGGGAAAACGTCTGCTGGTGATTTCCTTCCCAAGTAGCTGATGCAATTCTAGGAGATGAGAGCTGTGGATAACTTTCCTGGTTTACATCCCACAGTCTGTGAGGGCAGGACAGTGCATTAAAATAATCTTGTGTGCGGTTAGTGCAGTATCTTTGTGGTCGTTGAATGGAAACTTGTTTTAGTTTACGCTTCAAATTTACATTTTGGTCCTCATTCCTATTGATCTACTGGATACTGGGAAGGGGGGCAGGCGGTAGGACGGAGAAGTGCCAGCTGATAGTTGTGTAGGAAAAGCAAACCAGTTGTGGGTCATGAATTTGCTATGCAGAACTCTGGTCTTCATCCGGAGTATTTATCGAAACATTTGCAAACAAGAATTTTGGAGAAACAAAACACTGCTTTGGCCTCTGGAGCATTTAAGTTATTCACAGTAAATTTGCATGAAGTTCAGCCTGAGTACTACCAGTTTCGATTTTTTGTGCACTGCGTTGTATTTGTAGGCTATCCAGTCTGTTTGACACTGTAACTTCCTTCCTAAGTCAGCTGTATTTATTGTTGAGTATTACAGTATACCTAGGTGCTAGCTCAATCATTTATTTTGTCAGTCTGGTTCCTACAGTTCGTTTTACTTTTGCAACAGCTGTCCTAAGTCTTTAAGCAAGATTAAAGATCTTGTGCTTTTGAGTATTTTCTTCCTATTTTTAATTCCTGCCTGAAGCCATGCTCGAGAATCTTGGGAACAGAGGGAGGTGGAGAGCTTGGAAACGTGGCATTAATGTGTTGTTCTGTGGTACTGGGCTAAGGTAGTGTGGACAGGTTACACATGTTTTTGATTTCTGAAGGTCACCTCTCATCCCTCCCTCTGAATTTTTCTGAAACAGTCTCTATCCTCAGGAGCCACTACAAACAGATACACAACCAGCTAAAATGTAGGAAGGGGCATTAAAAGTACCAAAGCAGGCTTTTGCTTCAGACAGAATTGAAATGCAATTATATGAGGTAAACATGCTGTAAGCCTTGTTTCTTGACAAGTAATGTCATTCTGATCTGTAATAAGTAGCTGTACATGGACACATCAGTGTGTTTTAGCTGAAGAATCCATCATTACTTGTTCACAATAACAGAGTTCAGGGCTATTGTAATACATTTGGGTCTCTGAATTACAAAATCTGTATTGAAACTGGAAACTAATTTTTAGTTTTGGTTAAATTACTGGTATGTTTTAGTGATTGGACCTTCTTTGGTGTTATTAATTGTTTAAACTGTTTTCTACAGTTTAGAAACTAGTATGATTGAATCCTGTGTTGTTTTACAGAATTTAATTATTAAATGCTTCTTCCAAAGTTGTTTGAAGAAATGGAACCTTTTATATTCTTCTGTTGTTTATAAAGAGCAGAACAGAGATTTGTCATGATTAAGCACTGACTGTTGTCTGAACTTTCTATATGACATAGAAACTAGTAATAACGGTTAAGAATGAGTTGTGTAAAAGTCACATTTATGAGAAGCACAATTGTTGCATGCATAATAAGACTAGCTTAGATTATGAAAACTAAGAGTGTGTTAGTGAGAGCAGACAGATCAGAGCCTTTGGGCACTGGTCTCAGGGTTAGTTGCCTGAGTGATCTGGTAGTCTTCTGTGAAAGGAGTTCCCTCAGTACTTTGAGGCCTTTAGAAACTGGCATCATAGACTTAAGCAAAAGGCAAACAGCATGGAAGAATTATTGTAGTTAGTTGTTCAGTGCTTGCTGTTTGCTTCCTGAAATAGCTATACTGGTCTTTCACAGCAGTTGTGTTTTGATTTCTCTATTTCTCCACTATTTGGCAATACATGCTAACACTACTGTTATGGTGAGCAGCCCTGACTTTAAATGCGGAGTTGAAATGGTGAGGCCTAAATAATACTTTAGGCAGTGATTAAAGATGAAGGGATTTTTATGTAGCTGAAGTTGAATGATGCTATTTATTAATGATTTCTTGGGAAGAAGGAAGGAGTGGAATAGAATTTTAGACTTGACAATGTCAGTCAGGTTTATAAAATTTTCAACCCTTGCAGGAGAAAAACCCCACCCAGTGTGACCATGTCAAAAGGCATGAGTATGTATGGACACTTTTAAGTTAAAAGTTTTGTAACCATCCTAGTTATGGGGCTTTGGAGTGGGGGAAGAAAGCTGTCTTTTTGTATGGTATGTGATCTTTTTGCAGTAGATTGTAGACTTAAAAATTGTTTTAAAGAGCTTGGGAGTGGGTTTGTAAGCAGGAAGATTTCTATCTATCAGCAGTTGGTTTGAGAACAGCTCCTGAAGAATCTGTTGAAGGAGAGGACTGTGTGTACTTAAAAGCAGGGAACATGGTTTGGCCCTAAGTCAAATCTGCTTTACAGGTGAAATATTTACTGGTTGCAGTCCATACTGCACCATATTGGGCACTAAGAGTTCTGTCATGTTCTTGTCATGTTGTGAAGAATAATGGGCTCACTAAGGATTGAGGAAAGTAAAAAAAAAAAGTATAGGGCTGTCAAACTGCCCACTTGCCAAATGTGGAAGTATATGTGCTTTTCTAGCTTTTAAATATAGCTATAGTAGTTGAATTGATAACATGAATGTTTCAAATTGCACTGGGAAAAAATTCAGAGAAAACTATTTTTTCTTTCACAATTGCATTAGTTCTTTTGAAGAGAGGTCTAGAGGACACAGTCTGTAGCTGTTGCAAAAATTTTCAAACTACAGGTGCCCCTAAGGTGTTAAGTATTGTATTAAAGGTTTTCTTACAAGGTAACAAATGCAGTATTTTTAAATCTCTGACACATCTGAAATGTTTTTGTTCTCATGCAGTGGTCTTGCCAACAGTGCTTCTAGAGGGTTTCTAGCAAGGATTTTGTGTAGCTGTGTTTACTCAGGGAAGCTGTTATTTAGAACATCTATTGATCTTCAGGTTAAGCTTGTATGAAACAGCAGTCCTGTTGAGTAAGAGTGACAGCTTTTGGTTTTGTTTACTTTTAGTTAAATATATGCATAGAGGGCTATAGAACTGAAGGTTTTTTCGCTTGCTACAGTAAAACTAATATTTTAATATGATTATTTGAAGTTCATAGTATTAACTGTTGCTCTAATTTTAGGTAAACATTACCAAATGAGGAGAAAAGGAAGATGCCATCGAGTATCGGCAGCAAGGCATTCTTCTTCCCCATGCAGTATTAAGCACTCCCCAACACGAGAAACCTTGACGTACGCTCAAGCTCAAAGGATGGTTGAAATAGAAATTGAAGGTCGCCTGCATAGGATCAGTATCTTTGATCCTTTAGAAATTATATTAGAAGATGATCTTACTGCCCAGGAAATGAGTGAATGCAACAGCAATAAAGAAAATAGTGAAAGACCACCGGTTTGTCTAAGAAGCAAACGCCATAAAAATAACAAAGTGAAAAAGAAAAATGAAGCTCTTCCGAGCTCTCATGGTATCCCTGCTACAACAGCTCCTCTTCCAGAACCAAAAGTACGGATTGTTGAGTACAGTCCCCCTTCAGCTCCTCGGAGACCTCCCATTTATTACAAATTCATTGAGAAGTCAGCAGAAGAACTCGATAACGAAGTTGAGTATGACATGGATGAAGAAGATTATGCGTGGTTAGAATTGATCAATGATAAGCGGAAAAGTGATGGAGTGTCAGTAGTTTCCCAAAATATGTTTGAATTCCTTATGGATAGGTTTGAAAAAGAGTCTTATTGTGAAAACCAAAAGCAGGGTGATCATCAGTCTTTAATTGATGAAGATGCAGTGTGTTGTATATGCATGGATGGTGAATGTCAGAACAGCAATGTGATCCTGTTTTGTGATATGTGTAATTTAGCAGTACATCAGGAATGCTATGGGGTGCCATATATACCTGAGGGCCAGTGGCTCTGCAGACACTGTTTGCAGTCCCGCTCTCGGCCTGTAGACTGTGTGCTGTGCCCAAACAAGGGAGGTGCCTTTAAAAAGACAGATGATGATCGTTGGGGACACGTGGTGTGTGCTCTGTGGATTCCAGAAGTTGGATTTGCCAATACGGTTTTTATTGAGCCAATTGATGGTGTCAGGAACATTCCCCCAGCCAGATGGAAGTTAACATGCTACCTCTGTAAACAGAAAGGTGTTGGTGCCTGCATCCAGTGCCACAAAGCAAACTGCTATACTGCATTCCATGTGACATGTGCTCAAAAGGCTGGTCTGTATATGAAAATGGAACCTGTGAAAGAACTAACTGGCAGTGGAACAACGTTCTCTGTGAAAAAGACTGCCTACTGCGATGTACATACTCCACCAGGCTGCACACGGAGACCGCTCAATATTTATGGAGAAGCTGAAATCAAAAACGGTGTTTGTAGAAAGGAGGGATCAGTCAGAACTGCTAGGTCTACATCAAAAATCAGGAAAAAGACAAAAAAAGCCAAGAAAACAGTGGTTGAACCCTGTACAGTTATGCCAACAGTATCTGCTCCTTATATTCCCCCCCAGAGGTAAGCAAACCATCAAAATATGAGAAACCTTTATTTAATCTATTTTGTTTTTCAACCAGGCTTTTAGATGCCACCTTGAAGTTTTTGTATGTTTTTTACGTGCTTTCTTTAAAGCCTGTTTCAGAGAACTACTGTTAATTATGTACATTGCACTGTTGTGGAGTGGCATTAAAAATGCAGTAACTTCCTCAGAGAAATTACTAAGTGATCAAGTGATCTGTCTTGTCCTCATAATGTTTGGTTTGAGTTTTTTTGTCAGACTAAGTTATGTTGTGTTTCCACTTGTCATTCGTTGTACTTCTAAGAATTAACTGCTGAATTCGGAATAGTAGGTGCAGTGATCTTCATATTAAGGAAAAAAGCCAAGCTCAAACTTAATTTTATTTGTAATTTTGGATTCTGAGCTTATTTTTCTAATTTTAAGAGATACAAAATGAAAATTACAATTGTGTATGTAAGTTTTGAATCTTGTTCATCTCACATAAATTAAGAATAAGCTTGTAGTAGTGTAATATCTATGTAAGTTTTACAAAAAACCTTCAAGGAAGTGTTTCCCTTATGTAGCAGAATAACTACTCCAGAGGTGTTTCTGAAATTTATGTTTGTATGTTTACAACACCAATATATTTGTTTACATCTTGAATGAAATTATTACTAATTTTAGAGCAGTAGTTTGAAAAGTTTCTCAAATAGGCAGCAGTTCCATGTGCAGGCTCATTTCCTGTCCTGTGACTGGACTCTGAATGCACAGAAGTGAGGGCTTTTAATGTAATGCAATGCCTTTTAAATAGCTGGCTCCAAGTCTCAGGTAGGGAGCAATTAAAGCTGGTTAAATTAATCTAAATGAGTATGTGTTTGGAGACTGCAGTTCTTTCCTGTAATAAGTTTTGTTAATGTAAGAAGCTACTTATTGACTGACTTTGACAAACAGCCTTCAGCTCCTGTGCAGTGTTTACAAACATCAGATTGATTGCTCTGTCCTGTTAGGACTGGCTTGTTAAAATTTTTTTGTTGTTGTTTTTTGATGCACTGCAGAAAAACTTTATTTGACAGTAGGTCACTAATACTGCTATTTAAACAGGAACTGCTGTCCATGGAAGGAGAAGTTGGTGTATAATAGTTTGACTTTCTCTTTATTAGGATAATCCCAATTGGTAGTGTAGTGTTATTTTGTTTTGCTTTCTTCGGGACACTGTAAGAAAGGACATGAACTAAGAGTTGAGGGTTAGAAAGTATGTTCTTAGCTGTGCCTCTGGCAGCTCCTTCCATTGGCAACTTTTAAAAAAACCAGACCCTAAAAAGATGCTGTTGTCAGATGGCTTTTTTTTAAAATAGTCATTAGATGCCAGGATTAAACATAAAAGGCATTTTATTCTTTCTTTTTTTTCATGTTAATGATTGACTTTCTTTTCAAGACTGCAGAGAAATTCAGCATTCTTCTATTTATGCATCTCTTCATATTTCTAGAAACAAGTACAATTCCTATTCTGTATGTCATAAGTGTAAAAAGTGTACAGTTCAAAGGTATTTTAAAGTTGAGCTTTATTATAAATTGTTTGTCTTTGGCTAAGAGAGACTCTTGCTTAAGTACTCTTTGTAACGTGAACATGTTCAGTCCTAGAAAACTGATCCCTGAATTAAAAGTGAAACAAGTGGGCATATTAAAAGGAAAAGTGATTACACTGCAGACCCAAATCTCTAGTTTTAGAACCAAAGTTGTCCAATTTCCTTTGACTGTTCTTCAATTTTTGTCTGTTTAGGAAACACTTTTGTGTTTCCGTAGGAATTAAGTACATAAAGTATTAAAAAAGACCCATAAAGTATTAAAAAATTATTTGGATCATTTCACAGTAGGCTTCATTTATGTTATTCTTTTTCTCTAATCTGTTTATTAAATACTCTTATTTTCTTTTGGAGCTGAAGCATGATTTTTCAGAGGCCTTGAGGAAGAGCAAATAAGTGATTTAGTTTACTAGAAAGTAAATATATAAACATAAACATATGTTTAAACATAAACTGTGTTTAAACACTAGTGCTTTTTTACCTGAAGAATTTGATTTTAATATGTTTTCAACATCTCTGGAAATTGAGGCACATGTGGAGATGCTTGGTTTGGATTGGTTTGTTAATACCTAAGCTGTACACCTCCTCAGCACATTGCTGGCTCTTCAGAGTTGGTAGTTGGAGGAGTGCACAAATATGAAGATCATAGTGGAGGAAAGCACTTCCACTATGGAAGTGCTGGATGCAGTCCCTGAGTACATCTGGTGAAGCTTGAGGAAAACTAATTAGCAATTTATGTTCAGTTTAAGGAGAAGGATTTTGTATCCTTTTCGGGATAGTTGGAGTATTTGAATGACTGAGCACTTTAGTAACACAGTTTTTAATAATTCTGGTTTCCAAAGCAATTATCCTAATGTTCAGGATGTTTTTCATAATTTCTACGCAACTTTTGTAGCTTATGAACCTTTCTGGATCAGCTTACCTTAGGTTGAGTTTCTGTGCTACTGCATTGAATGACTTCTACCAGAATTTCTTCCACAGATCTCATATTCTACACTTTTTGCAGTTAAACTACATAGTGTCATTCTCTAGGTCATTTATAATTAATTATATGATCTCTCAGAATTTAATCTGTGAACTGCTGATTTAGGGGTGCAGATCAGAAGTTGCTAAGCATTGATCCTTTGATGATAGGAGATAAATGCTTGCCTCCCCTGCCTCTTCTTTTTTCTCTTTTTTTTGTAATTTATTTTTAATGCTGGGCTTATATCTGTCCTGTTGCCTAGGTATTTTGGAAAGTCTATACGTGAGTATCTACTTCCAAAGGTGCACTAGTTCATCTTGGAGCCTTGTGGTGGTTTCAGTTTTCAGTGCTGTCAATGCTGACCTGTAACTTGTTTAGCTCTGGTAATAATGTATGGGACTACCAGGGAACTTCTGTGCCTGGAGGTTGTGTGTCAGACCTGCCTGCAGAGATGTGTTGTCTCTTTACTTGAAATTTCTGTTCAGTTCTTACTGAAATACCAAACTCTTGAACGTGGCGGCTTACACTGTACTGTTCACGCTAATTAGTTTTTATTTGCCTGTTTTTGATGGGCTTTTTTGTTTGTTTCTTTGGGTTTTTTGATTGTTTAAAGGTAGAAATGGGGATCATGTAAAAGTTGTGTTCCTGGGAAGGGCCAGAGCAGCTGTGCTGTGTAGGGAGGAGAGTGGCAAAAGACATCTGAGACTTTTCCACTGTATGGGAGGGACAGGCAGTACCTGCTGCTCTTGGCAAGTGGTAGTCAGAAAGTGGCCTCCCACTGCCACCAGATAGTTTGGCTGAAGAAAATGGCAAATTTGTTCTTGAAGTTTGGTATATGCCACTAGGGATGTGTAATGGTTGAATTTTGCTTAGTAGAGAGATTCCCCCCTGTCCTCCCCCCCAAAAAAAAATACTAGAAGGATTTTGTTTAGACTGCAGGTCCAGAATTTTCAAATTAGGAAATCCTAACTTTTGGGGTTGTCTTGGCAATCTAAATCTGGCTGCTTCTCTCTGTCAGTTATCTTGCACTGACTCTGCTCAATTTCTTGTGTGTTTTTTGTTTTTTAATCTGCTGCTGCTCATCCTTGTCCTTTGTAAATGTTACCTTATTCTGCAAGCAGGATGAACATGTGCAGCAGAAGTGTTACAATGTTAGCTGGGAAAACTACATTGTTTCTCTTATTTTTGATTGCTTATTTCTCTAGTACAAACAGCATTGGTTTTTGTAGCCTCTTGATCTTGTGTGTCAAAAGAGGCATTTAAAAATATTTGCTTGTTAGCTAGTGTCAATATTCACATTATTTAAAAATGCTGTGCTACTACAATATTGTAGCCATATAGTTGGAGGGAAATAGAATGTGATATGAAATATTTAATCTACGGTATTTTAAAAGTATACACTGAGATACAGTGTAATCTGCTTTATTAAAATGCCATTCCTGCAAGTACTGCTCTGTTAAATGGAATCTGGCATTAAAAGCATATAAATATTTGCTTTCATCTTTAGTTTCTCTTTCTGCAAACATGGCATGTTTGTTATGTCTGAAATTAGGAAAATATTTGAAATGCAATATCTGTATAGAAAGCAAAGAATAAGAAAAGCCCCACTTTTATTAGAAGTAGGAACACTGTGTGTTGTTCCATGAGGTTTGTTGCATCATTAATGTTAAAAGAGAATTATGAAAGTAAGATTGTTATGAAAGTAAGGTAATAGCCTTACTGAGAGCAAAAATTGCTGAGACTCTTACAAAAAACATTTTCAGCTCTTCTGACAGATCAGCATTTATTTGCCCCACCTTAACTGATTTCTTTATGTTGATCTTTGGTTTTATTAGGAGGAATACTGTTCCTGGTAGTAAGCTGGATTTCTGTTACTGTGTCTCAAGGCAAAACCAGTATTTTCTTTTGGTTTATGATTTACCAAATTGAGCTATCTTGAACTTTCTTACCAAGTCATTAAATGTAGTCTTGTTATCTTAACACAGGAATATTGATTGTCTCTGAAAGGAAGTATGGACCAGAAAAATAATAAACAGAAAGTGTTGAAGTGCAGTAGGAGGGGAAAGGAATATTAACAAAGCCTTCAAGGCAGTGTTAATCTGCATTCACAGATCATGCTTTTTATTCATTTATGTAGCTTGTGGATTTCTTTTGGGGATTTTTTTAAAACGTTTTTTAGGGTACTCTGCGTGTTTTTTGGTTTTTTTTATAAGTTCAAAAAGTTTTCAAGGTGGGGGTAAAGAACAAGAAATGTGGCTTAAAATTCATCATAAAAAAAGCTATTGAAAAATACTGCTGGGGCCAGCATTGCAAAGAACTTGGAAGGTGAATAAATCCAGACCAATGTCTATTAGCTCATTATCCTTGAATATACATGTATTTATAATTTACAGAATGGTGTGAAAATGCTTATTTTAATTCCAGGGGAGCATGATGTAGGTACAGCCTTGTGACTGTACCTGATGCTTGGATC